TTGTTTTTAAATTTAAGAATTTTGTTTAACAGTAGTGGCAACTTGACAGAGATCTGACAGTGTAATATACATATGTACATTCTAAAAACAAACATTAAAATAAAGGTTTATGACTGAACTAAGTCAGGGTTTGGAACAAGTTTCTTTAAATCCATTAGTAACATATAACAATAATAACAACTATGAATCTCAATATATATGTATGTATATCATTTTAATATTTACTTTTTTTTCTTTGCAGGTATGTTGATCTTTTTTTTTATTACTCTCTAAATATTCTCTTGGGTGAGTAATACATATAATATTTTCAAAAATACATCTTTCTAGATTTCCATCAAATATTATTAAAATTTTATGACAAGTAGAGAGTAATTTATTAAAAATACCATTTTGCATTTCTTGAACTTTAAATATTAAAAGTAATCGCTTTATCACATCAGTTTTTGAATTCCCAACATGTAGTTGTAGTGAAATATCTAGTAAAGTTCAAGGTCAAAACACTTTCTTTATGTTATATACAGACAACACACACATACATACATCACATCAATGACTTTTCACAGAGTTTCAACAAAACTTCCAAAAATATAAACACAGGAAAGAAACAATGTCGTTAAGTACAGTAGAATGTCAATTAAATGAAATGAAATCACATTTAAATTAATGGAGTCTGAATATAAAGTAATTAATAAGGGTCAATTGGTTCTAACTGAATAGTTCTTTCTAAGTGTGGGATTAAACAAAGGCCACCAAGAGGTGGACTTTGAAACGGTTACGTTAGATTATTACACTAGATTCGAGAAAAATACATGCATAAAGACTACACTATAGACTAGACTATAGACTAGACTATAGACTAGACTATAGACAAGACTATAGCCTAGACTATAGACTAGACTATAGACTAGACTATAGACTAGACTATAGACTAGACTATAGACTAGACTTTAGACTAGACTATAGACTAGACTATAGACTAGACTCTAGACTAGACTATAGACTAGACTATAGCCTAGACTATAGCCTAGACTATAGACTAGACTATATACTAGACTATAGACTAGACCATAGACTAGACTATAGACTAGACTAGACTATAGACTAGACTATAGACTAGACTATAGACTAGACTATAGACTAGACTATAGACTAGACTATAGACTAAACTATAGTCTAGACTATAGACTAGACTATAAACTAGACTATAAACTAGACTATAGACTAGACTAGACTATAGACTAGACTATAGACTAGACTATAGACTAGACTATAGACTAGACTATAGACTAGACTATAGACTAGACTATAGACTAGACTATAGACTAGACTATAGACTAGACTATAGACTAGACTATAGACTAGACTATAGACTAGACTATAGACTAGACTATAGACTAGACTATAGACTAGACTATAGACTAGACTATAGACTAGACTATAGACTAGACTATAGACTAGACTATAGACTAGACTATAGACTAGACTATAGACGAGACTATGGACTAGACTATAGACTAGACTATAGACTAGACTATAGACGAGACTATGGACTAGACTATAGACTAGACTATAGACTAGACTATAGACTAGACTATGGACTAGACTATAGACTAGACTATAGACTAGACTATAGACTAGACTATGGACTAGACTATAGACTAGACTATAGACTAGACTATAGACTAGACTATAGATTAGACTATAGACTAGACTATAGACTAGACTATAGACTAGACTATAGACTAGACTATAGACTAGACTATAGACTAGACTATAGACTAGACTATAGACTAGACTATAGACTAGACTATAGACTAGACTATAGACTAGACTATAGACTAGACTATAGACTAGACTATAGACTAGACTATAGACTAGACTATAGACTAGACTATAGACTAGACTATAGACTAGACTATAGACTAGACTATAGACTAGACTATAGACTAGACTATAGACTAGACTATAGACTAGACTATAGACTAGACTATAGACTAGACTATAGACTAGACTATAGACTAGACTATAGACTAGACTATAGACTAGACTATAGACTAGACTATAGACTAGACTATAGACTAGACTATAGACTAGACTATAGACTAGACTATAGACTAGACTATAGACTAGACTATAGACTAGACTATAGACTAGACTATAGACTAGACTATAGACTAGACTATAGACTATGCTATAGACTAGACTATAAACTAGGCTATAGACTAGACTATAGACTAGACTATAGACTAGACTATAGACTAGACTATAGACTAGACTATAGACTAGACTATAGACTAGACTATAGACTAGACTATAGACTAGACTATAGACTAGACTATAGACTAGACTATAGACTAGACTACAGACTAGACTATAGACTAGACTATAGACTAGACTATAGACTAGACTATAGACTAGACTATAGACTAGACTATATAGACTAGACTATAGACTAGACTATAGACTAGACTATAGACTAGACTATAGACTAGACTATAGACTAGACTATAGACTACTAGACTAGACTATAGACTAGACTAGACTAGAACTATAGACTAGACTATAGACTAGACTATAAACTAGACTATAACTAGACTATAGACTAGACTAGACTATAGACTAGACTATAGACTAGACTATAGACTAGACTATAGACTAGACTATAGACTAGACTATAGACTAGGCTATAGACTAGACTATAGACTAGACTATAGACTAGACTATAGACTAGACTATAGACTAGACTATAGACTAGACTATAGACTAGACTATAGACTAGACTATAGACTAGACTATAAACTAGACTATAAACTAGACTATAGACTAGACTAGACTATAGACTAGACTATAGACTAGACTATAGACTAGACTATAGACTAGACTATAGACTAGACTATAGACTAGACTATAGACTAGACTAAACTAGACTAACTAGACTATAGACTAGATAGACTAATATAGACTAGACTATAGACTCGACTATAGACTAGACTATAGACTAGACTATAGACTAGACTATAGATAGACTAGACTATAGACTAGACATAGATAGACTATAGAAGACTATAGACTAGACTATAGACTAGACTATAGACTAGACTATAGACTAGACTATAGACTAGACTATAGACTAGGACTAGACTATAGACTAGACTATAGACTAGACTATAGACGAGACTATGGACTAGACTATAGACTAGACTATAGACTAGACTATAGACTAGACTATGGACTAGACTATAGACTAGACTATAGACTAGACTATAGACTAGACTATGGACTAGACTATAGACTAGACTATAGACTAGACTATAGACTAGACTATAGATAGACTATGACTAAGACTATAGACTAGACTATAGACTAGACTATAGACTAGACTATAGACTAGACTATAGACTAGACTATAGACTAGACTATAGACTAGACTATAGACTAGACTATAGACTAGACTATAGACTAGACTATAGACTAGACTATAGACTAGACTATAGACTAGACTATAGACTAGACTATAGACTAGACTATAGACGAGACTATAGAACTAGACTATAGACTAGACTATAGACTAGACTATAGACTAGACTATAGACTAGACTATAGACTAGACTATAGACTAGACTATAGACTAGACTATAGACTAAGACTATAGACTAGACTATAGACTAGAACATAAGACCTAGACTATAGACTAGACTATAGACTAGACTATAGACTAGACTATAGACTAGACTATAGACTAGACTATAGACTAGACTATAGACTAGACGATAGACCTAGACTAGAGCTAGACTATAGACTAGACTATAGACTAGACTATAAGACTAGACTATTACTAACTAAACTATACTATCGACATACTATAGACTAGACTATAGACTAGAGCTAGATACTATGCTAGTGACTAGACTATAGACTAAGGCTATAGACTAGACTATACATGACTAGACTATAGACTAGACTATAGTACTAGACTATAGACTAGACCTATAGACTGAGACTATAGACTAGACTATAGACTAGACTATAGACTAGACTATAGACTGAGACTATAGACTAAGACTATAGACTAGACTAGACTATAGACTAGACTATAGACTAGACTATAGACTAGACTATAGACTAGACTATAGACTAGACTATAGACTAGACTATAGACTAGACTATAGACCTAGACTATAGACTAGACTATAGACTAGACTATAGACTAGACTATAGACTAGACTATAGACTAGACTATACTAGACTAGACTTATAGACTAGACTAGACTAGACTATAGACTAGACTATAGACTAGACTATAGACTAGGCTATAGACTAGACTATAGACTAGGCTATAGACTATGCTATAGACTAGACTATAAACTAGGCTATAGACTAGACTATAGACTAGACTATAGACTAGACTAAAGCATAATCTATAGTCCTACCATGTGCAGTCAATCTAGTTCATATTTTATGGTCAGATGAAAACGTTTTTTCGAAAAGGTGCAATTTCGAGGTGTGTGATTAGTAAACTGTGCTAAATAAGTTCAACAGCATTAAGATCTCGGCCATTATATATATGATACCAACTTTGTTCCAAAATCGCTATTCAACTGTATTTTAGGTTCCTCGTTTTTTTAATGTAATGCTCAGCTTTAGCAGAGCCCTTACAACAAAATTTAATAATATCAAACTTAAGGATAACAAAAACTATACAAAAAAGGAAAAGCAAAATAAACCACATACAAAATGAAGCCAAGCAAAAATGTCCTTTGGCAAAAAACAATGAATATTTCAGCTTGTAAAACAAACATGCAAACGAGATAAAGACAACAATAGACAGTCATAGTCTAACAAAAAATCTTTAGAATAGAGGAGAATAGATTGAATTGAATAAGGAAGAACAAATATGTAAATAAATAATTTTATTTGAAATATTTTCTTTATTTTTTTGTTTGTTTTTTAAATAGATTTTTGCATTAAAAATGCATTTTAATAAATTAAATTTTGTGTTTTACATTAAAAACTATATGGGGGGAAATAAATAATTTCAATAAATAAATAAATAATTTAATTTAATTTTATAATAAATAAATAATTTAATTTAATAATAAATAAATATATTCTCTTGTTTTTGTTTTTTCTGTTTCGTTTCAATAAATAAATAAATTAATTTAACTAAATTTTGTAATAAATAAATTAAACTTATCACTAAAATGGTTTTTTCGCTAAAATAAGATTTATACTTTGTATAAATCCTGGCACTTAAGTTACTCTAGCATTTCATTAATTATGTCTTAGTGGGTTTTGTGAGCCTTCAATTTGCGTCTACGACCATTTTTGCCCATGGTAATGGCCTTGGCTACGGTCTCGACAAAGGTTAAACCATTTTTGCCATTGGGTTCAATGTATTCGGCAGGTAAAACAAAACCATAACGACCGCTATCACCCATTTCAATGGTGTAAGCGTATTTAATGCCAGCAATACCCTTGGCCCAATCATCCGAACCACCAGCAGCTGGATATAAGGTATTAGCCGAGGAACCTACAGTATATTTAGCACCAGTACTCTTGGTAATGATCTGTGGAATGATAAAAAATGTTATTTTTTGGAGTGACATTCAAATTCCGTAAAATACTAACCGTTCCCGCTTGTCTGGCCACCAAATCCAAATCGGCCATATCTTTGGTAACATGATAATCATAACCCCAAGGATATAAAATATATTGACCATAACTGTGGAATGATAGATAAGCCTTGAAGGTATCTCTGGGGAAATTACTAATGAATTTGGAAATATAGAATGTCTCAGGTTCCGAGAAAGCTTTGCTGCCTCTATAGGTCTGGGCACAAGGATTAGCTGAAGTGCCTTTACCACCCCATTTATAGCCGAAATTACGATTCAAATCAACACCAGGACAGGCACGACCATGTGATCTCATATTCTTACGCCACAAACGATCGGTAGTGTGAGAGTATTCATAACCATCGGGATTGGCCACAGCATGAATATACCAATTAATATTACGCATATAAGCGGGTATTTCATCCCAACCTTCAACAATTCGATTGGCGATATAGGTGACTACAGCAGGACTGATCCATTCTCTGGCATGCATACCACCATCGATCCAAATACCGGGATTGTTAGCATTACCATTAGAGATCCTAGAATATTTATAACATTTTATTAGATTTGTTATTTTAGTTTTCTCGATAGTTCAAAACTTACTTTAAAATCGTCAAAGGTCTCTTTTCAATCGAATAACCAATAGTTTCTACCGAGCAGATATCGGGATAGGTTTTAGCCATGAAATGGAAAAAACCATGTATGTCCTCCAAACGATGATATGCTTGCCAGGTCAAACGATGTCCTGAAAATTAGAAGAAAAAAATAATTTTAAATATTAGGATGTGTATATAATGGAGTTTAGTTTGCTAAAATTGTTAGGAAATAGCTTCACTATATCAGTCCTAATGGGCCGAACTTTAAACATGTGAAAAAATGTATCTGAGGCTGCTATAGAGATCAAATTCGGAGAATGTTAAAATCTACAATATTATTCTTATGGAAGTGTATGAAATCTATGGATCTGATATGCTAACTGAAGTCTTCGTGGTTGGACACAAAAGTAGTTCCATTAAAATCGAAAAGTTTTGATTCCTCAAAATTAATTCAAAATGTTCTGTGTTTTTCTTGTGAAAGTGTGTGATATTTGTGCATATAATAAGCTAACTATAGTCCTCAAGACTGGACACAAAACTAGTTCCATTAAAAGTGATTAAAATCTGATATCTTTAACCAAACAAGCCATCTAAAAGTAGATGAAATAGACTCTAGTTCCTTTAGAAGTTAGAGTAATCTATATCCGTAGATCCGCATACTTTTAAACAAACTATTCCAAAGAAAATAACTGAGGAAGGATTCCATTATAAAAATAACATAAAGACGAAGTTCAAGCTATTGCAAGGGATTAGAACTAATTGCGTTAGCCGTATGAGGGATTAGCAGACGTTAGCCCTAATAAGGAGGGGCAAAAACTGTTCCTCTTTTAAGAAACTAAACGATAGGTTAAAGAACCAGCTACAACAATGAAGAAAATTTTAGTCGTAATCCAAAGTCCTAGGTAAACTTTTATAATAGAGCTGCTCTAAATCGCAATATGTCTTTAGAATTCTACATCAGGTTATCGTGATATGGGGTCTTTTGAAAAAATCCCCTTTTGGGCCATATTTGAGACTTTGTAAAGCGCAAAGATAGATTTATTTATATATTTTTTTTTTGTCATTTGAAAGTCCAATTACTGGACTTTAGAATAAGATTTTAAACTCTTGTACATATTCTTCCTTTTTCGAGATATCTCAAACTTAAGTTTCGAATTATTTGATTCAGTTGCTGAAACATGGAATCATTCGATTGTAATTGATATCGTTTTTTGGGTGTAATAATTTTTTTTTAATTAAATTAATTATTACATATCAAAATTGGCTTCCAACCTATTTGGCTTAAAGCCATAATAAATTAAATTTTTATTTTGTTTTCAACACAAAAGGAACTTAACTTTTTTTTCGGTTAAAGAAATGGAAAAACAATGATTTCATTTACAGAATAAAAGAAATTATATAAAAATTTTGTTTACATTTTTTTTTTTTAATTTTTAAAAAACTATTCCTTCTCTTTCTTTACAAATAACCTTAAATCACTCCATTCGAAAAAAAATGGGAAATGATTGCTGTAGGAATTTATTGCATTACAACAATATTGATCAAACAATAGTTAAATATTAACATTTACTTGCATTCAATTTACACACCCACCCCCAATATATATTGTTGTTATTGTTTCCAATATATAAAAACATAAAACAAAAGTGCCCCCCCCCCAAAAAAACACTGAACGCATACTAAGTGCAATCTGATTATTATTACCTATAGTGTGAACGCATTATAAAGAAAATGTTTACAATTTACGCAATTGTTTGTTGTTGTTATTAAATGGCAACAATTACGTTATGCGTGTATGATAACAAAAGTTTAAAGAGTAGATAGAGAGAGGAGGCAAGGGAGAGGAAGTGTTGTATTTTGTATTGACAGTTTAATGCAAAAATAACTGATTACTCATGACATTTCCGTAAATGCTAAATAATAAGCAAATTTTAAAGAAATTTTTGTTAAATTTGAAAAGAAATTCTTAAGAATTTTACATTTTTAATGAATTTTCAATTTCAACTTAAATTCTTAAACTTCAAAACTGTATTAAAAGCAAACTTTACAGACCTTGTCAAAATTTGAAGTTTATAAAAGGAATACCATGACATTGCATGTTGAATTTACATTTGCATTTTACCTTTAACTTTAAATTTCAGTTTTTGTTTTTAGGTTCATTTACTTTTTTCGGTAAATTAAGGGTTTTTTTTAGCCATATGGCAAATTACATGTCTTGCTAGCTTTCAATATTTGTTGTAAAAGGCGTTTTTTTATGTTTTGTTTATTATTGACACTTCTTTCATGAGACAAGTGTCAGAAAATACAGAGGTTTTTTTGGGTGTTTTTTTTTTATTTATTTGCTAAAAGAAATTTCACTTTACCCAAAAATATATGTAGGTAAAAATCAAAGTTGAAAGCCGTATTTTTTGGGTTAAATTTAGTAAAATAATATTTATTTTAAGGTGATATAAATTAACCAAACTATCAACATGCCACAAAAATTGACATTAGTGGAAGAAAAAAAACTTCATAGAAGGACAAATAAGAAAAAAGAGAAGAAAAAATGAAATTGTAGGGTTTCCCATAAGCAAAAATACTTTAACACATTAAGAGGTAGGGTTTTGATAAGTTTGTTTAAATATAACTTCCGTTATTAATCGAATAATGCTAAACCAAATGTTTCCGGAAGAACGTTAAGAACGAAACAGATTCCTTTAGGTTAGTTTAGCGATCCAAAAATTCTCAATTGATCTGAACTTCTAAAAATTCCAAATTTACCCCCATAACTTTTAAAATATTGAAATTGACGGCTGATCGCGAAAAGCAAGATCTTTGAACATCATCTAGTCTTTAAGACTAAACAACTTCGCGAGAGAAACTCTTAGCTACAGAGCCGGATCAATATTATCTAATCACTCTGAGTGAATCACTCTTGCTGCTGTTGGACTATTCAAAACAATTTATGCTAAAGTTGTGTACCGAAATGGATCTTGCGATAAGTTTTATACGATCGCGAGTGATGGCAGTTCATTCCCAAGGAATTGATTTCCTTAGTTTCTTTGTTAAAGTAACAAATTCCCTTTAAAATATTGAAACTGATGACAGATCGCGAAAAGAACAACTAGCTATAAAGCTAAAGGTTTCATCTAGTCACTCTGGGTAAACCACTAACGTGAACTTTAGAGGTATTCATCTTTAATCAAGTTTAATCTGCTTAAGTTTGGATCGGTTAAAGTTTTAAAATTCCTATTTTTAAAGAAACTTGCGAACACTTTCACATGATCGCGAATGTTCACAATTCATTTTCAAATAATCAAATTCTTTAGGTTCATTCAACGGGCTCTCATTAGAAATGCATTAATTCTTTATTGAATTCTTAAACCATTCCAAATATATATGAAATATTAAAAAAGACAACTGATCGCGAGAAGAAAAACTAGCAATAGAACTAGATCATTGAACATTATCTTATCACTCTGAGTAAATCGTACATGTGAAGTTCTCAGAGTTCATTGAAAGCTTCTCCTTAGAAATTAATTTACTCTTTACTCGAACACTTTCAAATGATCGCGAATGTTTACAATTCATTTTCAAATAATCAAATTCTTTAGGTTCATTCAACGGGCTCTCATTAGAAATGCATTAATTCTTTATTGAATTCTTAAACCATTCCAAATATATAAAATATTGAAAAAGACAATTGATCGCGAGAAGAAAAACTAGCAATAGAACTAGATCATTGAACATTTTTTAGTCACTATGAGTAAATCCTACATGTGGAGTTCTCAGAGTTCATTGAAAGCTTCTCCTTAGAAATTAATTTACTCTTCATTAATTTTTCTAAACCGAATCGTTAGTAAACAAATTAATAACTAAACTTTTGAAAATCTCTAACATCAGAAATTTCTTGATTTATATTCGCGATACGATTGGGAGGGAACAACAAAATGCATATCTGAAATGCTTAACGAGTAAGAAACCTTTTACGTAGATTGTTAAGAAAATTCATGAACTAACAACACAGCTGTTAAATTGAAAACTGTCAAAGCTAAACTGTATTCTCTTTTCTCTTTCTGAAATTCAATATACTCCCTCTTATGCCTAATTTAGCATATACTTGCTATATCCTGTTAAAACAAAACCTTTCTATAATTGTTTTATAATTAAAAACTAACACCCTTTTTTTAACCCCAAAAAAGTGGTGTGCATATATTCAATTATTTCAAAAACCCCTTTTTTTAATCCCTCAAAACATTTGGGTAGTATTTGTTTTAAGCTCAATTAAGTATGAAATAAAAACAAAACAAGTTATTCTTTGTTTTTCTTATTCCTAAACCCACTTAATCATACCCCTTTTTTTGAAATCAATTTAACATAAGTAAGAAGTACTTGGATTTCAATATACTTTTCTTCAACTTGTTTGCATAGCGTTTAACTCTAACCCTTATAGAAACACCTAGTAGTTTGATTTTGGAAATGAATTTTTATAATATCAAGAAAAGAAATCAAGAATAATAATTGCAAAACACCTTGTCTAAATATTACCTTCAGCACGTAATATGGAACCAAAAAGTGTGTTTGGAAAACTATAATCATAAATATAAATGATCTTTATTTTTTCTTGGAGTTTTGGGTTATTATCTGATTTGCTACACCATTTCCTATTACACCATGGAATTACAGAAATATTCGTGTTTCAGAAATTTCCAATAATATTTCAGAATGTTGCAATTGATTTTCAGAATTTTCCAATTTGACTTCAACTTGACTTGATCTAATAGTATTTCAAAAACATTCATTTTTCAAAAATTTTTAATACGATTTGGGAATTATATTTTCTCGCAACTTCTAACAGTATTTTAGTTGGTAAGTTTGAAAGAAGGATGTACATATATACATCAAATCCGAAGAAATACACCTAGGCTTCTATCGGCCCTGTTGTGCGCTCCTTAACCAGTGCCTCAGGTGGGAATCGAACCCACCACCACCGGTCTACCAGATTAGAACACTAACCTACTGAAGGCAACTGTATTTTAAGAGTTATTAATTGTATTGTTTCCGAAAAGGTTCATGATCGCTCCACGATTCATTAACTGCAATGAAAAATGGAACCATTGCGATAATCCGAAGCACAAAGATCGTAATTTGAAGCCCGAATCGACAACAAAGCCAAATATCCAGGGCGCTAAGGTAATACTTCTTATTGGGTGGTTCCAAAAGTAAACTATCTACTCTAAGTTGTTAAAATCTGGCCAGAGCATCACAGGAAACCTGTACCAAATACAACTGATTCCTATGAAGCGAGCATTAGGCGAAAACCCCCTGAATATTCGGCCAGTTACGCAGGCAGCAGGTTTCATTCAAAAGCAGGGAAACCACTTGAAACCACTTCTTTGCATGTCCGAAAAGGTTCATGATCGCTCCACGATTCATTAACTGCAATGAAAAATGGAACCATTGCGATAATCCGAAGCACAAAGATCGTAATTTGAAGCCCGAATCGATAACAAAGCCAAATATCCAGGGCGCTAAGGTAATGCTTCGTATTGGGTGGTTCCAAAAACAAACTATCTACTCTAAGTTGCTAAAATCTGGCCAGAGCATCACAGGAAATCTGTATCAAATACAACTGATTCCTATGAAGAGAGCATTGGACGAAAAACCCCCGAATATTCGGTCAGTTACGCAGGCAGTAGGTTTCATCCAATTGGCTGCAATATGTATTAAAGACAAGAGACCTCGAAACCACTTCTTTGCATGTCCGAAAAGGTTCCACGATTCATTAACTGCAATGAAAAGCGGAGCCATTGCGATAATCCGAAGCACAAAGATCGTGATTTGAAGCCCTAATCGACAATATAGCCAATTATCCATGGCGCTAAGGTAATGCTTCGTATTTGGTGGTTCTAAGTTGCTAAAAACTGGCCAGAGCATCACAGGAAACCTGTAATATACAACTGATTCCTTTGTAGGGGGCATTGGGCGACGATAGCCCAGTTACGATAACCCTCACAGGTTATTTAGAAAGAAGTGTTTGGAAACTTTTGCATCAACCGCATTATAGCCCAGACCTTAACCCGTCTGACTACAATTCATTTAGATCTTTATATCGGAACAGAGTATTCGAAATTGTCTTGATGCGTTTTTAACCTGAAAATATGCGCAGGTAATGCTCTATATTTGGTGGCGCCAAGTGTCCTAACTATAATAAGCTACTGAAATCTAGACAGACCCTTAAGGGAAGCCTGCCGAATACAACTGATTCGTTTGAAGCGAGCATTATATGCTTCACTTCGGAACAGGGTATTCAAAATTGTCTTCGGAGCAGGGTATTCTAAATTGTTCTGAAGCGTTCTTGGCCTCAAAATATAAATTTCTTAAATTTCTTTTGTTAATGTTTTAAATAGAAATTTTGGACAAAACAACCAAACATTTCTGAAATCCATAAATAGTATAGGAAATGGTTTTTAGTCAGTCCCCTTCTCTAACCTAGATAATTTTAAAATAAAAAAATATATATATATTTTGTCAAAAACTTACCCTTTCTATTTTGCAATTGTGAAATTGTTTCAGCCAGTGGATTTTCTACCTCAATGACTTTCTGTAAATTATCAATAAGTACAATGCGCGATAAGTTGGCGGCTCTAACATGACGTTCAGCATCGGCCAACACTTGTGGCTTCAACAAGTAGTCAACTTCTTGTTTGACCTCTTTCCATAATTGACCATCTAGAAAAGTGGAAAAAAGCGAAAACAAAAAAAAAAGTGGTTTCAATAAAAATGTTTTTCCACAATATTGGCTATAGATATGGTTATATGCCTATGGGTATAATGTGTGGAGTGAGTGAATGAATGAATGAGTATGGCAAGTGGTAGTATGTGATGCGGTGTGGCTGGCTATTTGGAGGATGTAGGCGTTTTTGCTGGTTTTATGGGTTTTTGGTTGCCTTTTCTATGTGTATATATTTATATATGGAAAAGAAAGTAAAAGTTGTTTCTAATATTTTTACATCTCTACTTTCTGGTTTGTCTAACATAATGTTTGAAAAAACTATACATATGTGATTTTTTTTTTTTTTTTTTTAGTTTTTTGGAAGTTGAAAGGTGTTAAAAATTTTTATTTGATTTGTCGTTCTTTTAAAGAGATAAAAAAACTATGTTGGCGTAGGTTATAATTTCATTTTTAAGTATAAAATTACTTTTTTTCTTATTTGGTTTAATTTTATTGGAATTTTCTATTTATAACGTATATTTTAAAAGTAGGTTGTTGTCATTATTTTTGTTATTACTGAGAATTACAAAGAAAATAAAACAACCTACAGTTTATCACTTAAAATTTATTCATATTTTTTTTCTAAAGAACTCACCAGTGACCTAGTTTTCTGGGTAGTTTTTAAATGGATGTTTTATGTAGATTTGTTTTACATTACTGTTAAAAGTTTCAGATGAAATTAATGCAAAATTATTTTCTTTTTGTTAAAAATTCTAAGAATTTGACTAAAACGTCCCCTAAAGAAATATGTATGTTCCATGTTATCATTTGATGTTAGTTGTTATAGCAACCAACTGTTATGGTTCTAGCTACTAAATTTTTGGCCAACTTTGGAAAACTTTACTACTATTTTCCATTCTATTTCATTATTTTTTTAGTTGCGACCCGATATCTTTTAGATAAACTATCAATTTAGGAATATTCAATTGTCCAAAATTCAGTTTCTCAAGTCCCCTAGATGTGGAATTCGTATTAAAGTTTATCAAAATCTTAAGAAATCTGCAGTAATATTCCCAAAGAATCGATAAATTACAATCATTCCATTTTTATTTATTTGCGTTCCGAATTCCATGATAAAGATGGAAATTTAGCAAAGTTTAACGGTTTTAAACTAGAATGAAGATTATCGAAATTCTTAACTATTGAAGATGATCGAAATCGGTTAAAAATCTTTAATGAAAACAGAGTTCAGTTAAAAAAGTTAAGTATTTGAGGTTAATTTTTGAAAAGACTTGAAGAATTTAAACATAATATATATGATTATGTTCGCAATTGATAAACTCAAGAACTACTGCATATAGGGATTGTGAGGAGTGTCAAGTTTTAAAACTATCTGTTAGATGGCGCCGTATTATACAGTTTTAATCAATTACACTTAGGCCGCCGAAAGGATTACTTAAAAATTACTTAGACATGGAAAGTCCAAATGCCCAATCAAGCGCCCACAACGGGAATGAGGTACCACTGGTAATAAACTCAAATTGCAATGTCCTAATCAAATCTATTGTGACTTAGGAACCTAATAGCTTGGGTCAAACTGAAAAGGTTAATATATTAGGGGCAATTTTTCTTATAGTTCCTAATATTTCGGATATATTCAGATAAGTGAAGTAGGAAATGCATACCCACTTCACTTAACAACCAAAGCTTTGATTATGATCCTTCTCTATCGGGGTTTCGGAATGTCATAAGGTATAGAAGTCAAAAAATAGCAGATAGAAGTAGTTTAATGTTAAAACTAAATCTGGTGTTCTGATGATCTTTGAGCATTATTTTACGAAATTTGAATAATTTTGAGGATTCATTTCCAAAGGAAAACAGTCTGAAAATATTTAACCTGAAGAATTTTTGAGGATCTACGTTATTGTAACAGTTCAACTGTGGCCGAAGATCCATTTGTGGTGAAATCGAGGATCTACGTGGATGGAAGTAGTTTAATGTTAAAAATAAATCTGGTGTTCTGATGATCTTTGAGCATTATTTTAAGAAATTTGAATAATTTTGAGGATTCATTTCCAAAGGAAAACAGTCTGAAAATATTTAACCTGATCTACGTTGTTGTAACAGTTCGACTGTGGCCAAAGATCCATTTGTGGTGAGATCGAGGATCTACGTCATAATTATTGGCATCGGAAAGATTTCCAAATAATGGTTCGTACTCCTATTATGGCTTCACTCAAGTTCCTATAATTCTATATAATGAGTTTGAGATCCACTTTAGGAGAGATATTCTAAGAAGATTAAATAGATTTCAACCTACTCTACGATTAGATATCGTAGAGAATGTAAAAAAAACTGCCGTTACTCGGAAGTGTCGGTCTTTAAATACTGAGCATTTCCCTGTTAAAAGAAGTCAGTTTCCCAAATCGACCACTTAGCTATAACTCTACGTTTCGTTCGGATAGTTGCTACTGGTCCTAAGTTTGGCATGAGATACTGCTTGGACTTTTTCTCTGTTATTCCTTATTTGAGGGTGCTGTTGTTTTATACGTCAACGATTTCAGATGCATTTTCTAATAGTTGGACTTCTGCAACAGGTTGGGTTTCTTACGATTTTTCGAAACAACATTTCTGAGAATACCAAAAAGGTATTAATTTCTCCCCATCTCGGACATTGTCATTGCTGAAAACCTTTGACTTCTTCTCAAGTACTAATTACGGAACTAGTTCTTTGTCAGTTGGCTTTCCTTATAGTCTTCATTTTCTTTTGAAGCTTCATTTGTCATATATCATTAAAAATCAGTTATTTATTACTAAAACATTAGCAATTTTTATTTAATTACTTCTATGGAATCTCTTAAACTTTTTGATATTTAAAATCTCTATAAAACCACATCCTTAATTACACAATTTTCTTTTGCAATTTTAACTAAAATTTAAATTCTAAACAATTCTTTGACTAAACATTTTAGTTAAAAAAGACAAAACCTAACAAATTGCTTTTGTTTTTAGTTTTTAACTAAACAAAAATATTTTCTACTGCATTTGACGTTAAAATTGACTTCTTAGCCTTGACCTCAATAAAAAAAGTAAAAACCGACAAGTAATTATATAGTAAAATACAGACAAAACAAAAAGATTGAAAACATTTTTTTCTGAACATTTACGTTATAGTTTTCATTATGAAAATGGATGCTGTGTGTGACCGCATTTTAGTAGTCACTTAGATTAAACCTAGATGAAATCTTTTATATTATAGATTGTTTTTTTAGATGTACTATTAAAAAATATGGGAAAAAATAATAGCAAATAAAACAAAAAAGATAGCGTGACCTTAATTGCAAGCGGTGTTGGTTATTTCTAGGGAACAGGAAACGAATAGCAACGGTGTTTACTTGAGAAAAACATGAATTTTAAGGAGATCAAAAGTGATCGGTACTTACAAAAACCTAATCGCAAATGAAATGTTATTGGTTTCTTACAGAACACAACAGGGATTTTGAAACGAAAGTTCATCATTTCCATTGGTAACTCGTTAGATTTCATCCAAAGACTCTTTAGAAGGTCGAATTTCTTTAGTAAGTAGAGCTTTCTTCATCAACTAAAGCTTCTGTAGTAATTCGTGCAGTTTTAACTTTTTGATCTTCATCAACAGATTGGATTTCTTCAACATATTGTTCTTCATTTTTCTGTATCCCGAAAGTCTTCAGTAAGTTGAGCTTTCTCAGCAGCAGAAGATACGGTTTGAGTTTAGCAACTTGAGTTTCTTCAGCAACTTGAGTCTTTTCATCAAGTGCCGATCTTCTTCTGCCTGATCACTTTCTTAAGTGATTAAAAAGCATTTAACCTAAGTTACTTGAGATTGTCGAGCTTAGTAATTCCAAGCAGTTTAATATTGAAAATAAAGTCTTAAATCTTCAAGAGTTTATTTCGAAGTTCCAGAGATCATTAGATAGACAACACTCCTCTTAACATTAGAGAAAGTTAAGGGAAAATGTTAAGGATTTAACGATGCCCAAAATTTTACAGTTTGAGTTTCCTCAGCAAGTGTGTTTATCTTTCTGTTGATCACTGTCTTCAATGAACAATATCTCATTTTACAAAAACCTGCATTTGATTTAAATAACTTGAGATTTCCGAACTTTTAAGTCCTCATTGCAGTCGTGGACTAGGAATAATGACATAGCTGTTCCAATTTTAAAGAGTTTATTTCGAAGAGCCAGAGATCTTTAGATAGACAACACTCCTTTATATTAGAGAATATTAAGGGAAAATGTTAAGGATCTAACGATGCCCAAAATTTTACAGTTTGAGTTTCCTCAGCAAGTGTTCTGGTGATCACTGTCTTCAATGAACATTATCTCATTTTACAAAAACCAGCATTTGATTTAAATTACTTGCGATTTTCGAACTTCAAAGTCCTCAATACTGTTATGGACTTAGCAGTTCCAAACAGTAAAGTCCAAATTCTTCAAGAGACAACTCTGCTTTACATTAGAGAATGTTAATGGAAAATGTTGAGGGTCTAACAATGACCAATCGGTTCAGTGAAAGCCCTTCCCATCAGGCAAATTTCAATGATTTTGGAGAATATATAAGACATGTATATTTAGATTTCAGTATGATTAAAGTGTGATGATCTTTGTGCCGATCACTAACTTAAATCACAAACAATTTTGAGTTTAAATAAATAATGCCACAGACAGCAGTGCAATTATGAGTTGTTATATTTTCCAAAAAAACTGAAATTATTAGTTAAAAAACAATTAAAAACTAAAGAGTTCTTCAGGAGGAGATGTTTTAGAGGACGGAAGACTATGAAGGACACAACTTGATCATGTTGGTTAATTGTTTAACTTAAAAGGGATTTGCCTTAAGAAAACCATAAAAATATATTCAAAAAATTAACAAAATCTCGAAATCGTTCCACATTTCGCAACACCCTTTCTCTTTAACATTTAACAGTTAGCTTAAAATGCATTTAATTTCTATATAAATTTCAACACAAATAGAAATTCCTGCTGAGAAAACTAATGGGGAAAAAATCTATTTAATATGCTGAACCATACCAAAAACAAAAAAAGATAGAGAGAAGAAATCATTTAATATTCGTATGAAATGAAATCTCCAAAAAAGAAATCTATCTCCTCGCAACATTGTTAAGAAAATCTATGACATAGTTGGATGCCAAAAAAATTGGCTTTAAAAATATCACAGAGATTTTGTTATTTTATGCAGAAACCTGGAGTGTTTGAAAAGCAATTAAATGTTAGATTTCATAAACTACATGTTGAGAATTATCAATTTATCACATCATGAAATATGAAATGTTCAAAAACAAAAACCTTTTGTCTTTACAGCTAAACATCCATGAAATTTCTCCAATAGCATTGTCTTGGACTCAATATTAATTAGTTTTCTTTTAAAAAAAAAAAAATTGTAAAAATTAAATTGTTTCAACTTACCATATTTAGTTTGTAATTCTTCGGCTAATCGTTTCTCTCTATCGTTTTGCACTACAATACGCCAGACTTGAGCACCATCGTAACGTCTTAGTTTTGAACTAAAGGCCGGTTCTTTTTGTACTTCCTGTTTGATGTTGTCATTGCTCATTTGATTCATAAAGGAGGCATTGACATAGTTGAGTACACTATCCAAAACATTTAATGGTTTCAAAGTTGTTGAACTAACAAATTCTACCACAGCTGGTTGTTCTTGTACTTGTACTTGTTCGTGCTTTTCTGGTTGTTGTTGTGTCAATTCTTCTTTAGTGGGTACTTGTACAATAGTTGTTAACATGGAAGTGGTTTCTTTGAGGGGTTCACTTTCATTAGTATCATCATTTAAGATATTATCACTATCCTTGTTGTCTTCTAAGGATTTTTGTATTTCAGCAATTGGTTCTTGTTGTTGTTCTTTATGCATTTCTTCGACAGGTTCAACATTTTGCAAAGTATCTTCATCGGCTAAGATTACAGGTTGAGCAGCGGCTTCAATTTCTTCTTCTTGCTCTTTAGTTTCCTCAGCTGGAAGTTCATCGGCTAAAATTTCTTCGGGTTTAGCTTCGGCTTGTTCAGTTTCTTGTTCTACCATAGCAACTTCTTCGGTTTCGGTTTGAATATCTTCCACAGGTTTAGTTTCTTCCATTTCAACGGCAGTTTCAATGGGTTCAACTTCATCAACACTTAGAGTTTCTTCCACAGGCATTTGGGATTCTTCGACTGGTTTTACATCTTCCATAACTGTTTGCATAGTTTCAGCTGGTTTTACATCTTCGGCTTCTGGTTGAGCTTCTGATTCATCTTGTTGAATTTCTTCTGCGGGCTTAATTTCTTCCTCAACGGGAAGTTCAGCATCAGCTAGAGCTTCAACAGGCTTGGACTGGGAGTCATCAGCTTCAAGACTTTGAACTTCTTCAACGGTTTGAGCTTCTTCTACGGTTTGGGTTTCTTCGACAGGTTGGGCTACTTCTGCAGCTTGAGTTTCCTCAACAGTTTGAATTTCTTCCTCAGCTTGAGGTTCTTCATCGGCTTGAACATCTTCAGCTTGTTCTGCTATTTCAGCTGGTTGAGCATCTTCAACAGTTTGGGTTTCTTCTTCAGACTTAACTTCTTCAACAGGTTGAACTTCTTCTACAGGTTCAGATTCTTCAACCATTTGAGTTTCTTCATCAGATTGAACATCTTCAGCTTGTTCTGCAACTTCAACTGTTTGAGGTTCTTCAACAACTTGAGTTTCTTCTTCAGACTTAACTTCTTCCATAGGTTGAGCATCTGCTACAGGTTCGACTTCTTCAGCAGCTTGAGTTTCTTCATCAGATTGAACTTCTTCGATATGTTGAGATTCTTCAATAGGTTGAGATTCTTCAATAGGTTGAGCTTCTTCAACAGATTGAGCTTCTTCAATGGCTTGAGTTTCTTCTATAGGTTGAGCTTCCTCTACAGGTTGCACATCTTCATTTTGTTGAGATTCTTCATCAGCCAAGGTGTCTTCATTAAGTTGAGCTTCTTCCATAGGTTGAGTTTCTTCCATAGGTTGAGCTTCTTCCATAAGTTGAGTTTCTTCCATAGGTTGAGCTTCTTCCATAGGTTGAGCTTCCTCCATTGGTTGAGCTTCTTCAGTTTCCTTCAAAGTTTCAGCATCATCAATGGGTTTAGTTTCTTCCATTGGTTCAGCTTCCTCAATAGGTTGAGCTTCTTCCATTGATTGAGATTCTTCCATAGGTTTAGCTTCTTCCATGTTTTGAGCTTCTTCTACTGCCTGAGTTTCTTCTACTTGTTGAACTTCTTCATCGTCATGTACTTGTTGTGTTTCTTCTTCAGGTCGAGTTTCTTCATTTAATTGTCCTTCGTCAGCTACTTGAGTTTCTTCAACTGGTTTCATTTCTTCTTCAGCATTATGGAACTCTTCAACAATTTGGGATTCAGAAGTTAATTGATCTTCTTGCATTTTGTCAGTTTCATCAGCGACTAAAGTTTCTGCAGCAATAGGGGAAGTTTCAACATTATGAACTTCATCATCAGATTGGGTTTCTTCAGCAGGTTGTTCTTCATGAACAGCTTCAGTATCTAAAGAATTTTCAGAAGGTTGAACGTTTTCTGTAAGTTGGGCTTCCTCAGCAGCAGGAGTTTCGTCAACAGTTTGAGTTTCATCTGCAGCTTGAGTTTCCTCTAAAGATTCAGCTTGCATGACTTCTAGCTCTTGTTGCATCTCTTCAGCATGTTGTTCCTCCTCTACAGCTTGAGATTCTTCGGGAGAAGATTGTGTTTCATCGTTAATAGTTTCGGTTTTCTCTACAGCAACGTCTTGTGTTTCATCATCAGCTTGATTTTCTTCAGCCTGAATTTCTTCCGCTGGAGTCTCATCGGCTTGCATATCCACAACTTTAGCTTCTTCTGCTTGAGATTCCTCTAGTTTAGTTTCAGTCTCTTCAACTAAAGGTTGAATTTCTTCTACCACTTGAGATTCTTCAGCGATTTGGGTTTCATCATCAGCTTGATTTTCTTCTACAGCTGGAGTTTCCTCCTCGGCTTGAGATTCCTCTTCAGCAGGAGTTTCTTCGCCAGTTTGGGTTTCTTCAGCAGCTTGAGCTTCTTCCATGGCTGGAGTTAAAATTTTATCAGAAGCTTGCATTTCCATCTCAGCTGGTGCTTGAGCTTCATCATCAGCTTGTTGTTCCTCCTCAGCTTTCTCTTCTTCTGCTACCATGGAAGTTTCTTCCTGTACTTGTTCTACATTTTCTTCCACAGGTTTAACTTCCTCCATAGTTTGTGATTCTGCAATCACTTGATCGTTTTCATCATTTTGAGATTCAGCTACAGCTGGTTCTTCCTCAGCTTTTTCTTCTTCCATAGCGGGAGCCATTTCTTCGTGAGATTGAGTTTCTTCAATTTTATTTTCAGCTTCCTCAGCCATTGGTTCTTGAATTTCTTCAGTTTTTTCAACTACAGCAGGTTGCAATTCTGATTCATCAGCTTGCAAGTCCATTTCCACAGCTTCATCGACCTTTTCTGTTTCTTGTTGACTTTCGGCAGGAGCATCATTGGTTTCTTCCATTACAACACCAATCATTTCCTGTTCAGCATTATCCAAAGTTTCAGCTTTATTTTCCATTTCGGAAACCTGTTCCTCTACATCAGTGTTCTCTGTCTCAGTATCTTTATGTTCCATGGGTAATTGCTCTTCTTGTTTAACATTTTCAACCTCAACTGGCTCTTCCTCTTTAGGAGTTTCATCATTGCCTACCAATTCAGTTTCAATTTCATTTTCAATTTCTTGAACAGCTTCAGCAATGGTATTCATCATACTGTCTGATACTTGTTCATCAGCTTTTTCACCAGTTTGAGCTTCCTGCTCCAATTGATTGTTGTCCACTAAATCTTCAGTAATTTTAGTTTCCAACTCATCTTCAGGTAATTCCAAAATTTGCATGGCTGGTGTATCTTCACTTTCCAACATCAACATATCGGAATTGCTCTCAACATTACCAGAATTTTCGGATTCATTGAGATCCGTTAACGATTGTAAGTTTTGTTCTTGACTATTGGAAGCGGCTGGCACAAACAAGTACATATCACTGTTACCATCTACGGCTGGCACTAATTCCATATCATTTTGCAACACTTCACTTTCTGCCTCGGGCAGCATAAATTCACTAAATTCTAATTGTTTATCATTTTGTTGTTGATATTGTCTGCCCAGACGTTCAATGGACATGGACGACACTTGCCCGATAACGAGTAGGCTGCACGTTAAAAGCGCGATATTTAAACACGACAAAGAAGATCTCCTTCTGGCAAACATCTTTGCGAGATCTGTTACTAAACACTAATGAGACATGTCCCATTGCTAGTTGTGCGCTTTTATACTTCAGTTTGGGGAAAAATTAATTCCCATTTGACTATGATTTGCTGTTGTTGCTGTTTTTTTTTCTGGCTGTTGTTGTTAATGTGTTGTTGTAAAACACACAAAACCCCCCGAAAAAAAGTGAGACAACGTAAAACGGCAGCAGCAGTAACAGTTCCAGCTTAACAGCAACTACATACCTGTACTCACATATGGACAGACGGACGGACGATCGTACGTCTGCGCTTTTAGCTTGTTATTTATTTGTTGTTGTTGGTACAAAAAAAAGATCATAAAATACAGCAACGTTCAAAAAAAAAAAGAGTTATTATGTATGTAAATACAAACATATAAAATACGCGCATGTGCCCATCATCTTAAAAAGTCAGGCAGGCATGATTAATCTTTCTTTCCCTGTTCATAGCAAGCTCTTAAATTTCTGTATCTTTATTCCAAACATTTCTCTTTTTGCCTCTACTTTGGCTTATGGCGATGGTTTAAAGCGTTTGTATTTTACGGCTTGTTTAATGTTTAAAAGCTGGTTACATTTTTTTATGTTAATTTATTTAATATTTTATTTTATTGTTTATTTCACCTGTTGACTGTTTTTTTAAGAGTTTAAGTTTTATATTACTCTTAAAGAAATTTCTCTTACTAAGATTTCCTCTCTTTGGAATGTTTTATATTTCCCATAAGCTTAAAAATGTAATTATTATTTTAAAGTTATTTTTGTTTGTTATTTTTTGTTGTTAATTGTCTTTTTAAATGCCCATCAAATCTTTTATGATCATGTTGTTGTTTTTTATACAAAAACATATTTCTTTTTGTGGTTTTTTTAATATTTTTATATTATTAATTTATTTTTTTGCCATTTGTACCGCAAAATTTTGATAACACAATTAATCGATAAAGTTTCATTATGGGTTTCCTGTCAGTTCCTTTCCCCTTTCGTAAGATTTCCACGGAAAAAGACAGATTCCGAAAGTGTTAAATATCTAGACATAATGCTTGATCACTACAGGATTAATGTCGATGTACTTAACGTGAACACCTGCCTTGTTGGCCTATTGCACGGTGGTCTTTTTCAACCACTGGGTGAGCTCGTGCAACGACTCACCACCGCCCATTGTGCTTCATACAAACAGGTGGCAATTTACGTATGTATAGGGAATTTCCGGTGCAGTATACGTGCATTTTGCTCGAGTGCTCGAGTTATCTAATCTTTTGCCATAGTAGTTCCGTTGGGTAATGACAGCAATCTAACCCCGACAAAGGAAAAGGCAATCACTGTTTAGAGTCGATAGAAGGTGCGAATTCAACATCAGGTGAAAACACCCTATTGATGTCATGAGGAATGCTTTGTCCCTACAAATATTATCATCTAAAGACTCACCCCAGTGATTTCCTGGACCTCTTAAAGTCGCCCAACCACACTACTGAGATGGCTTTTGTTGATTCGGCAACAGCACCTAGGGGACGTAATTGGTAGTCCGAAACACGGATCTATATTTAATTAGCCAGACTTATTTCAGTGGCCTCAAGGACCTACTGTGATAAGTTGAGCATGTTTAGAGTAAACTCCAACACACTCAACCATGAAGGAAAATCGCCGATAAATTTAAGATTAAGGTATTGCAGCTCCACAACATCTCAACCAATTTCACCAACATTTCAACCATCACAACTCAGGATCCCTCTCGTCCATCAGATACAAGTATCCGAATGGTACATCTGACTCCATCATATACCCAATCTTTGCAGTATCAATTAAATTCCAACATTTTATTAATCCACAGCCTTGCCTTGTGGTTTGTACCGCTCCTAGTTTCTAGGTAACAAATATTTATCCTATAGGATGATCGATGTATATGTCGCTTGGATGTATGTAATGGTTTTACAAACTTTGATGAACATTCGACGCGTGTAAAATAAGAGGTGACATTCACAACCAAGTTGGTTTTATCTTTCAAACGTGTGAAACATTTATTGGTCTCAGATAGGACATTGTGTCTAGTGTAATATTAAAGCAAACATGAGGAAATCTGTTGCTACATGGATGGCTCTAAACTGGGAGACATAACGATCCTGAGAAACCAAAATATATTACCGTCTTCCTAACCAGATCTCTAGTTTCCAAACGAGAATCCATTATTTAACGGACTATGTTAAAAGGATTGTATCGAATATGGCTCCAATATCCCGAAGGCAATTAAGGCGTTATTAGCTGATGAGGTTAATCTAGGACCATATTAAACTGTAAAGCAGCCATAAGTGAATAATCCTCGAGTAGTGAGCTCTACATCGTATGGGTACTAGACTAGTCGGGGATAATCTAGGAAGGGAGCTTGACAAATTAACCTGACAAATAAAAAATCGTTCGACACATCGAGGGTTTAATTAAAAACATGAACGAGAGAATTTAAAGTTGACGTATGAAGTCAACTTAAAATAAAGGAACGGCGGGTAGGACTAATAATATCCTGTAGGATGACCCCAACGATAATTGGATGAGAAGTCTCCTGAGATGGAATAAGTCTGAGGTTAGTACAGGTACAGGTTTATACAAAATTCGACGAAAGGATTCAGATAAATTTTGAGCATACGAAGACGTCTGGGAAACTCTAAAACATTTTTTCCGTCAATGACTGATTTCTTGAATATTCGACATTAATTTCTTTCATCGTACTATATACATAATATGTAGAAGTTTTGTGACCAATATAATGAAGGTTTATACAAAATTCGACAAAAGGATTCAGATAATTTTTGAGTATACGAAGAAGTCTGGGAAACTCTAAAACATTTTTTCTGTCAATGACTGAGTTTCTGAATATTCGGCATTAATTTCTTTCATAGAATGATATACATAAGTAGAAGGTTTTGTGACCAATATAATGAAGTACACACTTGGGTGTAGGAGCTTTGTGTGGGGTTTCAAAACGAGTCCAAATTGATTCGCATATATGAATCTGATAAAATTGTTCATTACTTACCAAACTAACAAAACCAAACTTCAAAATGTGAGGGCTACATGGATTTTGTCGTTCCATTTGTAACAAGAAACAAATCATTCGTCTTACACCCACAATTATTCTGAATTATTCCTGGATTCTTTTGAAAAATCATAATACAGGATAGGAACCCAGATCTCTACCCAATTGACGAGAAGTAGTCCATATATGATCAAAGTTTCCATACAAAGTCGCCTTTCTCAGTCACAGCTCGGTCCATAGTTGACCTATTGTTGTAAATGTTCAATTTATATAAAAAATTGATCAAATTTACATTTATAGACAAAATACGATTAATTATCGATTTTTAAAAAATAATTAATAAACTTTCGATTTAGAAATAAAATTCGAGAAATTTTCGATTTGTAGATTTATAAAAGATTTTTGATAAGGGCTCGATTTATAAAAGAATTTTGATAAATTTTCGATTTATAGCTAATTTTCAATAAAAAATCGATTTATGTAAAAATTTTTTAGAAATTTTATAGAAAAATGTTGATAAATTTTTGAAAAATTTTTTTTGATTTATAGAAAATTTTCGATATCATAGAAAAATTTAGATAAATATTCGATGTAAAATTTGTATAAAAAAAAGAAACAAATTTATAATTTAGAGAAAAATTTTGATAAATTTTCGATTAATAGAAAAATTTCGATGAATTTTCGATTTACAGAACAATTTCGATAAAAATTCGATTTATAGAAAAATTTCGATAAATTTGTATAAAAAATAAATGAATAAATTTTCCTTTTATTGAAAATATTCGATAAATTTATGTTTTGTAGACTATTTTCAATAATTTTTTTTTTAATTGAAACTTTCAATAGATTTTTGTTTCCGAAGGATTTCTGTTTTATAGAATTTTTTTTGATAGATTTTCATAAATTTTTGATTTGTCGAAAAAATTCGATAAATTATTGTTTTATAAACAATTTTTGATAGCTTTTGTAAAAAATAGAAAAATATTAAAAAAATTTTTGAATTCCAAAACGAACTATGATTTCCATATTAAAAACATTTTAAATATAACATACAAATAACTAAGATCATTTTCAAATAACTATTTATCTTAACAACACTTTATTGTAAAACGACTAAAAAGTGTTAACTCTTAACACATTCTATAAAAGAGTTTAATATTTGTTTACTTTTGTATTCGTAAGTTTGTCTTTGAATATTTAACCTATCTGTCCATTATTATTATGTTTGCATATTTACCATTTAAATTCCGTTCAACCATATTAACCATATCCATATAACAATATTCCAACAAACACTCACACAGACTCTTTCTAACACTCTATAGATTCATAAATATATGAAAAACTTAGTATGTACAATAGCATACTCATTAATATTCCATATTTATTTCCATATTCAAATGCATAATTGGCATTTAACAGTTTTTTTGTTTTATATATTTTTTCGTATCTATGAGTTTACATATCTGTTTATATTATGGATGTATATGTACATTTATTTTAGTTATATTTTTCTTGTATTTAATCTAGTTTATGCAAATAATATTTTACATTTCGTTATTATTTTGTTTTTATTAGACTTTCATTTGTTTACACACGTTTCGCCTTGCATTCATCCACATTGTCGTCTTCTATTTCAAATACGATTCTTTTAATGTCGTTTTTATTGCATTTTTATGGAGGAAAAGAAAACTATTGATTATATGCTGCACTCTTACTTCTGCAATATTTGCATTTCATTTTAAATAATTAATACTATTAATTGTTTAGGATTTAATAATGTTATTGTTATTAGAAGAGAAAAGTAAGAGTGAATTTTTTATATGCAGATTCATAATTATATTTTTTATCTTGTCTATACACTAAACTATAGTTCTGTATATAGACTGATCTATAGTTCTAAAGCTCTGTCTATAGACTGATCTATAATTCTAGCTATTGACTGTTCTAAAGTTCCAACTATAGACTGATCTATAGTTCTAACTACAGACTAATCTATAG